GTATTGCAGTTCCTTAAGCTTCAATTTCCCTAACTTAGAAAAAGTACTCCAGACCTGATAGGTAGAAATGCTTGTGAAATACATTATTTGTGAATTCTGATAGGCACTGCCATATTCCATACTGCCCAAAGTAATATGTGGGTTAGGGTTGCCAAGTCTGAGGGTACCAGCTGAAGGTTGGGAAATTGATGTGCCTTGTCTTCAGGCAGGGAGACAAATCTTAAGGTGAGTTAGAGAAGGAGGAAGTTTGATATTTACTATTTACTACTTACTTACTTACTTACTTACTTACTACAGTGTGTGAGCTAGGCTTAAAGCTTGAGTACCCATCTCCACCCATTTTCAGCTGGTGCCACAGCTTTCTGGCTCAGCACAGAGTTGTTCTTGTGCCACATCAATGCACCAAAAAGCCAGGAGTGAAAGAAAATGACTGAGGAGAGACAATCTGGGTACCTGCACTTGGGCCCATCAGGCCACTTGAAGTAAGATAAGGAATGGAATATCAAATGTTATGACTCATGAAGCTTTTTGCTATCCAAGTTAAGGTCCCAGTGGTGCAGGGCCAAGGGAAAACATCCACAACAGCTGGTATTGAGCTTCCCACAGGTCAAAGCAGAAGCATAGGGCCTGGCAAAAACCTTCACCTCTCTTGTGTACTCTTGATAAGGACATGAAGGATATGATCTCCAGCAGCAACAGCAGGAACTGCTTCAGCTACCAGTTGCATCTTACAGTGTGTCCATATGCATAATAATATACATAATACACAGCAATATCTGTCATAATATTGCTGTGTATTATGTAATATTGAATGGCAGGGGGTTGGACTGGATGGCTCTTGTGGTCTCTTTCAACTCTATGATTCTATGATTCTATGATTCCATAATACTAGACGGTACTATCCAACCCCTGCATACGGCTAGAATAAAATTACTTATTATTTGTTATTTTGCAACCCACCTTTCTATTAAATGGTGTTTAATATAGTGTATTATTAGGGTCATTAATATATTATCACCAATAATGTCTGTTTTAATTTGCAAGATGCTTAATAATCCGCCTCTGATCCTGAAGAAAAGGAAGTGAATTCACAAAGGAGATCTACTCACTTCACAGGAATGAATGGGGCTGACCACAGTCAGGATAGAGAAATTGCTGATATAGCTTGCAGCCGTAATTTTAAATAAAGGGGCTGGCATTTTATTTCCTTTGTGACAAATGAAAATTGGCTCATTGGATAAAAGAGGTAATTTGGGGAAAGAAAAAAAAAAGAGACATTTTGAAGACATTTTGAAGACCAAAGTGAGCACTGCACTACATACAATTACACACGAAAGACAATTGTCCTCTGAACACCTCTTGTGCTAAATCTGGAGGCTAAATTCAGTCAGCATTGTGTGAAACAGAGAGATTTAAGGCCCACTCAAAGTTCAGATCTCAATATGACCTTAGCAGTGGAGTCACTATTCATGTCTCCATAATATATTTTTAGCATTACCCTGTCATTTCACCTTGTGCAGCTATTTAAAGATCAAAAGGAATTTCTTTCTCTAGAGACAAAAAAAGCAATGCATTTTAACAAAGGGAAGGGAGAGGGAAGGGAAGAAAATGGGTAGAATGACTAAGCAACAAACTGGAATATTCAATGGATGTTACTGATTAAGTAATTGTTTAATTTGCAGCTGATTTCCACCAAATTGGAAGAACTTCCCTCGAACCCAAAGATGTAATGTTACATTGTCAAAATAGCTTTTCACACTATCAGCATACATTCCAAAAGCAAATTAAGATCCTGATCAAGAAGTGTTGGGTTCAGATCTCCACTTGTTCATGAATCTCTCTTCAAAAGATAAGATTAGAAGTTCCTTTTCTTTCCAATTTAATCTACCCCACACTAGTTATGGGGGAGAGGGAAAGCTATGTACCCCAGTTAGATTCAAATGTGATAGAAAGAACTGTAAAGCTTAGGAAAAGTCACTTTTATGGAATATAGATCCTAGACCACTACCACCACCACCATCCCAGCAATCATGTCTATGGGGTGTTGGCCTGATTCTATTCTGGGAGCAAACTGTGAATAGCCTGCAAATGGAATGGCTTCTTAACTCTGTCTAGCAAGTACCTATTTCATTTGCACACATGTTTATGTCTGAGCCAAATTGCATGTGATGTTAAGTGCACTGTTTGCAGAGGCAGCACCCAGTTGAGACACAGACCCTGCTGTGAACCTGAAGGGGGGGAAATTGTCCCACCATTTGCTCCTACAGTGCGTTGGCCCTCTGACACCAGATAGATGAGTTCTGGAATCCTTGTTAGCATCATGGCCAAATGTTAACAGCTGCTCATTGATACAGATAGGGTGATTTTTGCTAGATATTTTTTGCCTCAGTTTCAGTCTAACTATGGAGTACATTTTCCTGTTACTAACCTGCTTGCACAGTTCTCAAAGCTATAGGTGAGGACATGGGTCAATCTTGCTTTTTTTTT